GCAAGCGTCGGCCATGATGAATATCGCCGACGATGGAGCGACTCCTCTAACAAAATGTTCACTTGTGCCGTAGTATCGTTTTTGAAGCGGGAAGTTTAAAAAAACGCAAATTTCTTACGCAGATTGTGAAGTTATGAGTGCATTTCAGACTTTGCCGATCGTGATTTTTGAGGCATTATCTATAAGAAACAACTCTTATTTTTGCTCTAGCAAAAGTTTGCAACAGGCCCATTCACATTAATCGTCAAAGTAAATCTTATTAAAGGTATGGAGGTACTAAACCACTTGCATAACCATGTTCATAGAAAATTATTGAAAAATAAAAGCATCACTCCGAAAATTCGAATTTTCACAAAAACATTTTAGATTAACTTCTTTCAGAACAAGTTTCAAGAAGATTTTTCATTATTGTTTTGATCACGTTGAGGTCACCATTTTGTTGCGTACATTTAGCAACAATCAGAACTATTGAATAACTATTAAACTTCATAATAATAATATTAATTATTATTATTAATTCGAGTAAATATTTGAAATTGAATATTGAGGCAATCTCGAGGGGGGGAACTTGTTAAAGCTAATTAAGCTTCAACCAGATATGTCTCCGTGGTAACAGAGTTCTATATACCTACATACGCATCGTAAAGCTATAAGCCCGTGTGAATAAAGTCATATCCACAGTATTATTATGAATATTATTATTATGAAGTTGAATAGTTATACAATAGTTCTGATTGTTGCTAAATGTAAGCAACAAAATGGTGACCCCGACATGATTCTTCTCGTCTGCAGTTCCTAGCAAGTTCCTAGCGCGTCTGCAAGTTCCTGCAGACGAGAAGAATCACGTCGGGGTCACCACTTTGTTGCTTACATTTAGCAACAATCAGAACTATTGAATAACTATTCAACTTCATAATAATAATATTCATAATAATACTGTGGATATGACTTTATTCACCCGGGCTGTTAGCTTTACAATGCGTATGTAGGTACATAGAACTCTGTTACCACGGAGACATATCTGGTTGAAGCTTAATTAGCTTTAACAGTGATTATTGTGGTCGCTCTGGACACACCGAGAAACACTGTAGGTTTCGTAAAAATCAAGATTAACAGGACAACGTTCAGTGCAACGTAGCATTCGTCAGTACCAGACTACCGAACTGCCCCCAACCAACACCTGGATTCTGGATAGTGACGCTTCCCAGCATATGTGCAAAACACATGCAAGGTCATCTCAAGAGTTATGAAGTTTTTGAAGCACCGCGCCTTGTCATAATTGGTAATGGCTCGACAATCCAAGTTGATGGGTCCGGCATCATTCGTATGCAATATATCAGCGGTAGTAAGTGTTCATTTGCTCGAGAGTACTACCTCAGGACGTAGTTCCATCATTTGAGTGAAAAGGCAAAGTCACCTTTAGAATTTAAGACCTCTTTGTATTCGCAGCGGTATGCGTCAATTTAGCTAAAAAAAATTACAATAATCATCCCAAATTTGAGTGAAATTATTCCTATTACTGATGCACATATTGTAATCAAACAAAGCCTCTAAGGAAGGGAGATAGGGGAGGCACGGGTGGAACTCGGGATTTACCTCCTCATAGTGAGTTCTGGATATTAATTTTTTGACCGCTCCAATGAAAACGTCTCGTGTCCGGCGGTAATTTTACTCAACGAATCGATTTTTTGGATCGCAATTTCAATAAAACAATTATTTTTCACGAAAAGTTACTTTAAGTGTGAAGTAAACACAGACCTGAGTATTTTACACAATATCTCGCAAAAATCGATGGTGGGTTTCGATGTGTCGATTATTTTCATACAAAAATTGAGTCCTCGACTCATACTACATGGGAACACTTTGGTTTGCAAAAGTTGACTCAGATGTGGACACGGAGAGCGATTTTACTTAAAAAAAAACTCGAAAAATTGGAAAATTCAGCCCTCAAAACTACGATCCCCCATGTTCACGATGAAGATGGAGGAGTTATGGCCGGGGATGTTTCTCTCGTTCTATTGGTGCCTATTAGCAACTTTTAAGACGTAGGCGTTTTCGGATTTCCAAAAAAAAAGAAAAAAAAAAGGTTTCGGCCCATAGGTATGCTTTTTGGCAACAATGGATTAAAATTTCAAAATTGCCTGATTTTGTCACGATCAGCTAATACCCGACGGTAGTCTCCAAAAAAGACTAAGACCATTCGTCACGAAAAATCATTCATGAGATATGCTGCTTCAAAAATTTAACTTTGACCCCTTCCCTCAAAGTATCCGTTTTCAATCATCGTGAGTGATTTTGGACTCAAGATCTGATTCTTCATGAACCCTGAATATATTTTGAAAATCAGGCTAAGGTCGGGAATTACCGATTTGGGGTACGTTTTTTTCTGAATCATTCAAACGCGAATTGATTGGTCGGAAAAAAATCGCTGTTTGCAGTTATATCAAAATTTTCAGCAGAATGTTAGTGTCGTTTTCGTCTGAGAAGATTTAAAATAACTCTAAAACGGAAGAAACTACAGCTCAGGAAACCTTACTTTTTGAGCTTACTCGTGGGAAAACAGAGGTGGGGCTTCTTTATGGGAGAACAGGTGTGGACATAGCAACTGTAATGATTTTGCCGCCGATTAAGTAAAATCAATTTTTATCTCACCAGTTTTCAATGATTCCAGCATGAAACAGGTTCAGATGAAAGAGTAGGCTTAGAGGATTTTTACTTTGAACTACTTTGAAATTAACTGCACAGGAGATTAATGTTCTTAAAAAATCATTACTTGTCATTTTTATTTCAGGGGGAGGTCACAAGGATATGTGAAGCTGTTCAGACTGAAGAAATAACCGAAGAGCAAATTTTCAACTGGCTTGTGCACTGGATTAATTATATTCGCCCAACCGATGATAAGTGTCTTCATCAAATACCAGTCCTTTACCCACTCCACGATTTAGATGCTGTTTATTAAATCATGTTTAAAGATCTAGTCAGAAAATAAGAATAGAAATGTAAAAATGAAGTAATTTAAAGCCTAGAAGTACAAGAACATTTCTTAAAAAATTATCAGATGTTTTTTTCCCCTGAGTTAGTTTTGTTTGATTTATTAGCTGCAATAAATCTGCCAAAGGTGATCAGAGATTTGAGAGAAAGAATTGCCCATTGCCCACGTTGAAGAGTCTTATTATGCAGGAATTCAATAGTAATACTTGCTGTAAAACAACGTTTACCATCAGTTGGGGAACCCCGGGGCAGTTTTAGGCTTTCCTTCAAAATTTCTCCCATAAAACAAAAGGTACAACATTGTTTTCCCCTTCATTTGTTAGTCTTAGCATACACTCAAAACCCATGATGCATAATTTTTTCCTTCCAAAAAATGTTTGTGTCCCAAGTTATGCGAATAGTTAGGGTTACCAAGACGCTGATGTAATCTTGCTGCTTGGCCAACATTCAAAAGTAATCACGCAACTTAGGATAAAAAAAAAATAAAGAGAAATTACAAGAAAGAATGTGAAAGTAGTGAGTTAACATAATTAAAATAAATGCCAAATTGTAGATACCTACTGATGCCATGTAACTAGTTAGTAGGTGTGCCTACCTGTGTACCTATCGCACTGGAATATTCAAGTTCTAAGAGGATACACGTCCTTGCGCTCTGGTACACACTCCCGGCGCTCAGAGTACAATCCCTCAGGATTTAATTGGACACCACGAGGTGTCACTTGGGTTCGAAGGGGCTACATTCTCTTCCGTGATTCAAGTCTGATTCCAAAGCAATGAAAATTATTGGAAGACCGAAATTCTGGAATCAGCAGACCCTGTACTCCGCTTTTCTTTTTGGAGCATAATCTTCAAGATGGAAAATTTCATGAAATTTATTATCGGAATATTTAATGAAATTTATTCGCGCCAAATTTCCTGAATTTTATTCGCGCAAAATTTCATTTAATTTCTTCAAACTTTTAGTGATGCATTCAGAAGGCCAAGAGATGCCTAGAAACAGTGATTCTCGATTTTGACATTTTTGACCCCAAGCCTAAAACATTCACGCATTACAAATGTTTGCGTTATAGGTTGGGCTTGGTCTTAATGTAATTTAATAATTGTTTAAACTTGAAATAATAGAGCATAAATTTTTCATTTGAGGGGCGGCCTAACCTTGCGGGGGGGGGGAGGGGAGGGGGCCCCCAGAGCTCCCAAACCGACGAAAACCGGCGAGCTCGGCTGCTTCCTTGGAGTAGCGTTATGCGCAAAAGTAGACGGCAAAATGAAAATAAGTAGCGTTTGTTCGGAGAGTTTGGAGGATGATATGACCTCTAGTGGGGGGTTAAAGGGGAGGGGGGACAGCGTCCCCCCTCCCTCCACAAATAATTACGAAAAAAGTTGTATAAATGCGAATTATTCACTTTATTAGGCAACTTTCGGGGCTTTTCATTGACTCTTCACACTAATATTATTTATCAC